AAAACTAAGCTGTTGTGAATGAAGTTACAACAATCCAAGTTGCATCCCAGAAAGTATTTCATTTCTAGGTACCCCTTTTCTCTTTCTTTTTTTTTCAAGAAACAAGCAGTGTAACACTACTCTGCAGCACTTCAGTTTTTAGGTGTGGTCAAAACCCCCTAGATTTCTGTTCAAAGCCTGATCATCACCTTTTTATTTCTTATTTTTCCTCCTTAAACTTCAAGAAAGCTAAACCCATTGGCTGAAACTCTGGTGAGTATTATTCCTCCAACAATTCCCAGGGTCTGAGGTTAAAAGGCTGATGCAAAGTCAATGCTTCTGTAAGTGTCAAAGGAGTTCACTTCTTCCAGTTCCCTGCCACACTTTATTGAGCTCATCCCTTATGTGTAAGCTCATTTTGGCATAGAGCATCTTCACTGCCCTTCAACCTGCAAAACCATAGGTACATCTGTATCAGGCACAGCTGAGCTCTCTAAACATTATACTGTGAAGGCTGGAAAGACAGACACAGAGGACTGAAGGTCATCCTAAGGGATGGTCAGAAGCCCACCTCCCAGCACCAGGGCAACATGAAAGATAGCCAGACCAATAAATGCTGCCTGCCCTACTCCTTAAAGGCTGCTGAAGAGATTCCTCCACATCTCAAGGTTATCCAGTCCAAGTTTTTAGCACCATATGCAGTGTTTCACACTTTCTGAGATACTTGGAAGAACTGAAAACCTGAATCCCCACTTCAGGGGGATTCAACAGTTTGGCTGCCAGAATTCTTCATGCCCCAATGCTCATGTCAGGGGAGTGACTGCCTCAAAGCACTAATTCAGTCCCCACTCCGGCAGCCCAGCCCAGCCAGCTCCAACCACCCTCCCTAAAGAAAAGCCTTCTGCAGAGGCTCAGCCCCCATCACCTCATCCTACTGAAAAAACATATACTGAGCCAAAAGAATCCCACTGCAAGGTCCAGCCTCACTTGCCTGGGCAGTAGACTAGTGATGGCAAGGCTTGTTTGCCGTGTAGGTGCAGCATGAAGCAAGCTCTAATTTTAAACAGTTTCATGCCAAAAGATAAGCTCAATGGTTACGTTTCTTTATCCATACAGATACGGTGCTGATACAGCTTTGATACATGAAACTTTTTCTGGAGGCAACACAATTGTGACAAAACAGGGGTCGTATGACAATTTGGAGTTCAGAAATGGAAGTAATCAAGAAAGATTTGGGGCGCTCTTGTCAGACAGCGCAATCATTCCCCACCACAGAGAAAATGCAATCACCTCCGTTTCAGCAACAGAGTCAGCTGACAGTGGCTGTTTTCTTAATCTATTATTTCTCATAACTTAGTAACACTTTAAGCGACTACAAACACATCTTTAGAATGCACCACAATTTTAATCAGTTTCAAACATCAGATGTTGGGTTTGATATTTATGATTGTTCTGTTTCATTTAAGGGCTCCTTTTGTCTATGAAAGCAAAGATAAAGTTATTTGAGACACCCACTGTAAAGTCTCTAATTTAAGAGGAAATTTCCTCTGTCACTGACTGTCAGATGCTAATAGCTGATGTTATTATTTTCTGCATGATACCAGGCAAGTGGTCTTCGAGAAGGATCCTTCATCCTATACAAAGCCGTCACCGAGCTCACTAATCAAATAACTGTGCCCTGCAGTTTCTAAAGGGGACATTCTAAGCCCATTTTAAGCTTCGGAAAAACAAAAAAAAACAAAACAACCTCTAATAACTAGTAAGAACCCAGTGTGGTATTATGAGGAGGTGACTGGGAATTATTTCTTTTTAAAGCCTCTTTTATAAGGATTCCCCATCAGCCTTTAATTAGCATGCCTGTTCCTATTCAGAGGTTCCTGATCACTTACAGCCCAGTTCAGCATTCACTGAAGGCAACAACACAGACTCCCTTGAATCCTGTGGGGTCTATAGGAGAGCTTAGGGCCATGCAGGGAACTCTCCAGTACCAACACAAAGTTAATTGAGCCCTTGATGCCCAGCTCTGGGTGTCAGCCTTGGGAACAGTTTACCTACGGAAGATCAGAAGATGATCTAGATAGATCTAGATAGATCACTGAGATGATCTATCAACTTATTCTGTTTAACTATTTACACATATTTTAAATCTCTGCTTACATAAAACTACAATTATTATTTTAGAATAGAGCATCTGCCGACATACATACAGTATTCTGCTAAAGGCAGATACATACCACAAGGTATATGTAAGATCATTAGCTAGCTATGACAGGCTATTTACTGTGATTTATCTTTCAGGATCATCTCATTCACAGGGAAAATTGAGTGTCAGCCCCATCCATAACCTATACATACAGTCTAGCTACTTGAAAATGATAATAGGTTAAAGGATGCAGCAGACAACTCTCCAACACCAGCCAAAATATTTAACCTTAAACCTTTTGGAACAGAACCTGAAAACATCAGTAGCAAAGCCAGAAGTCCTACTAACTTGGATTGCCAAGGGCTAATGAACATAGAAAACTCTTTACCTAGCACATAATTTTACTGTTGTTGGGAGAGTGCTGCTCAGTCATTTCAGTACAGATCCAAGAAATCTGCTTCTTATGGTTTTGTCTCTGTTTGAGCCAGATACAAATTAATGCTAAATTAAGAGCTGCAGTTCAAAACTATTCAAAGAAATGCAAGAACAAAGGTCAAAACTTAGATCTCTACCTGCAGGTGCATGTCCCGAGCACACAGCTAAATAGGGCCATCCATCTTCTGGTGGCAACAAAACCAGGAGTGAAATATTTGCGGTCTGATCCATGTACTTACTTACATACCACCTCCTCCATCAGCAGACCCTACTCAGCCAGAATGCTAGGCCCTGGGCTTCACTATAATGGCAGAGTGGATCTGTCCTCCAGTGATTCCACTAGAAACAAAACCATATTGAAGTACAACGCAGCCACTTCTGCCACTTGCAATGAGGGATGATGAAAAAAAAAAAAAAGTCCATCAGGAGCTACCACATTATACAAAATATCTCAAACAGCTAATCCTCCTTACTCTCCCATCTCCACCTCTCCTTTAAAGAATAAATACTACTGAAAAAAAAAAAAAAAAAAAGAGAGGTCGCAGGCCCCTGGGTTATAGAACCTTTAAAAGAATTTCCTGTACCTTATAAAACAGGTGGAAAGCTCTAAAGCACAGCCTGGTGATTTAGTCTACCTATGCCAGATCCAAGATTTGGCCAAAAACCTTAAATGAATCAGTGTAACAGCTGCCACAAAAGCCAACAGCCTCTAATCAATACCTTCCATGTTTAAGACAGAACAAACCTCCTCTCTGCAAAACAGAGTATACAAATTGCAACAAATTTAAGTTTTGCTTGCCTTAGGAAACCCAGGCAGAGCCCCTAATTTTTTAACAGCAGTACATGGTTAACAGAAGAGTAGCAGTGATGAGAGCAGCTGAGACACCTGTGAGAGACCAAAAAACACATCTACAAAAATGAGATATTCAGCAAGGCTGCAGATACGTGTGCTGCAAAAGCTAGCAAAGCTTAAAAAACATTGAAAATGTTAACACAATGAACATGAAAATACTGAATGTGTTAAAGTATTTTTGCATTACTTCATCCTAGATCTTTTTTATTCCCTAATTTGACTCTGGTTTTTAGTCTAGATTATAAAGAAAATTTAGAACAGGGAGATTTTTTTCCCCTTTCAATGAAGCCTTCCCATTAATAAAAATGAAACAAAGAAAATGAAGAAAGTGAGTAGTAAAACTTTTACAACATAATAAAATATATCAGAATCCCAGTGCAGCAGCATTGGAATTGTCTAAAGATGCTGAATTATGATCAGTTGTCATATAAAGTTCAGTCCAGAGTACTAGCAACCATATTCTCTAGCAACATGTATATAATTGGAAGATCTTCATAATAACCCTCAGTTTTAAAGACTCATAAAAACTGCATTTTACCCTTAATTTGCAGGAGGAAAGAATTCTTAAAGAAACGTAACATCTTTTTCTCAGTAAGAATGACTCTGAGGCAGTACACTGTGTATTTGAAAGCAAGCAATCCTGAAAGCTCTCTTTTTCTTTCACAGTTTAAAAAGATAAATACATATCTATAGTACCTACACGAGGAAGAAAATACGTATCACATAGAGAGGAACCCTCTGAAAGTATACTGAAAGCAAAGAATGTTACATTATTCTTTAACATAAGTACAGGGGTCCTTTAAGGTAAGTATCTTGATATAACATTGTAACCAACAGTAAAACAAGCCATGGCACTCACACTCAGAGAAAAGGAAGGATGCTGGTTTTACGAAATGTATCTACTTCCAAAACATAGAACGAAAATAATTATAAAAATATTATCAGCACTTAACACTCTCAGTAGACTGCCAAATCTCTACATTTTCTCAATTTTTCCCCTGACATTCTAAAACAAAATCCTTTCAGTTTGTTAGAAACTCAGCTACTAAGTGCCATAAACTTCCAATTATCCCAACCACTTTTGGAGTTGTCATCCTAATGAATAGGATGCTGAAGGTTCTACATGGAACAGTAAAATACAACCTGCCATCAAACCCAGATATTTTAACTTAATACTTTTGCCAGAGTAAAGCCTTTTTGTAAATAAAGCATGTTTGCTTTTAAATAAAGCTACTTCAAGCTATTCTGAGAAGCACAGTAAATAATAATAACAATTTCCCTTTGGATTTCAAAATCTGATGAAACAAAATCAGTACATGTCAAGCCTAGTATTTTCCTACCTGGAACAGGTAAGGACCAGCTCTCAAATGCCACCTTGGGATAGTTCAGACTGGTAATCCCGTTCATGTTTAGATGAGACACCAGCATGAACAAGAAATAAAAAAAAAAAAAAAGATCTACCCTGTCCTTCTCTTCTTTTATTAGCAACGCCTACAGCAGTGGTGAAGACCTGGTAAGCAAGCTGAGGACCCGGAGGACCAGACTAACCCAAAAACACTGCTAGAGAGACAGGCTTAAGAAAAGACTTACTGCTTGCCATGTGACAGGGAGAGATATGCTGCCCATTGGGTGTGCTGGAGGTGAGGTCAATGGCCATGCCGGAGTGCTCCCTTTCGGGTGAAAACTCATTGTCACCTGTTTTCACAAAACAAGTTTCCCATAAGTTTCCATTCCATGATTAAGAACTACAACCTGCCTGCTCCCTTCAGCCCTTTCCTCTTCCACTGGTGGGGTCTTTCAGAGCCTGTGTAAACACTGAGCTCTCAGCTGCCACAAGTTAAGGTTTAATGAACTAAGAGTTCCCTTAAACCTACTGTCACCAGTCTTTCACACACACACCTGTGACAAGCCTTGCTCCAACTGCTTTGTCTCAACAGAAATTAAGGCTTACTTTTCCATTTCCAGACACCAAGAATCCAGGCTGAGCAGGAGAAGACTGAAACAGTACTTCACCATACAGACCTTCCCCCCAAAAGCTCTGGGTTAACTGACAGTTAAGCAAAGCACTTAAATAAACCCTGACACAGAAAACAGGAGAAATGCACAGTGAAAGGCATAAAAAGTTTCTTGCTGCAATCTGAATTTCTGAAGATGAACTCTCGTTTGCAAAGTTCATTCATCCTCAGCAAATACTTAGACCTAGAGGTACTCACCCATGCACCCATCCCCATGCAATTTTCAGTCATACACAAAACTTATGTTTAAATGCTATTAATTCAGTACCATCTCAATATAAAAATCATACAGAAGGAAGCTAAAGTTTCAAGTGTCTGCATTATAGAAAGGATAGTGGGAGAAGAAAAGTAATTCAGAATAATCAAATGAAATGACTACTTACATGTTATATATCCATCAGCAGCCTCTGCTTCCATAGTCAAAGTGCAGTGCTGCAAGGCAGAAAAGTACACCCTCAAAGACGCCTGTCAGTATCAACCATTAAATGATTAAACTTACTTAAAAGCCCTAAGTAGTTGCCCATTTTACTGCTGTTGCAACCATTGCCTAGAGAAACACACAAGTGTACTGCATGTGCTCATTTGCAAATCACTGAACTCTCCCTGAAAATTATGTGAGTAGAGAAACTCAGCTGCCTCCTAGGCAGGCTGCACTGGGATCACTTTGGTCTGACCATACTACCCTTTCTCCCCTACTTGTATCTTCACCCGATCCAAGAGGTTTTTCCCTGACTTCCCACTTGTCTTGTTTAAGCTGGGATGGTAATGCTTTATCAATTATCAGCGCTCACAGCCAGAACAGGCTTTGAAGAGATGGATACTACTAACAATTGCTCTTTTCACATACACTCCAAGAGATTTCATCCTGAGCTAAACAAAAAAAAAAAAAGCCCTCCCATGTCTGTTACAACTCTTTGTCTCGCACCACTGTACATGCACACACACCTGTACAGGCACCTGTTCACTCTAACCCTATTTATCTGCCACAGCAAGGGGCCAAACATCACACTAAATACTCCCAGATCGTGCATTTTGCGGTGTGAAGCAATCTTAAAGTTTCTGGAAGCACTTTGCTGACACAGAACAAGCTATTACTTTCCAGAAACCCAAGTAACTGTATAGAATGACACCCCCTAGCTATCATTTGATATATATTGAGGGAAAAAAAAAAAAAAAAAGGAGAAAAAAAAAGAGACCAATAATTATAACTATTTTCTTTTAAGTGGAAAAGTTAAGAATCTGACATGACCAGAGGAGAATTTTATTTCCTCTCCCTCCATGGCCTCTTTTTTTGCCTTTAGTTTCAAAACTCTCACTGCACCAGGCAGCTAAATTATTCACAATGAGCCATTTCTGTATTGATCGCCAAGTATATTTAGCCCTGGCTCCTGGAATTTCTCCATTACTTACTGGAAAACAGGCAGCTTCACTTCTTGTCTCCAAAACCACTTCCCTCCCCCTCCCTTAACCCGCTTTCCTTCCCCCTCCCCCCCCCCTTTTCCCCCAATAAATAAATACTTTTCTCTGTGCTCCTCTTTGGTATAAAACAGATCAAATTCCCAAGGCATTCAGCACATAACACTTAAATTTCAACCTGCCCAGCTGCTAGCAAACTCTCTTCAATTACTGATTTTCACATGACTCTTAAAAAAGAAATCTCCAAACAAAAAGTTTTCAAAACAGGTAAGCTGTTTCCTCAAGCCCTTCAAAATTACCTTATCTTCCCCCTAGTCCAGGTAGGCAGGCACACACTGAGAAAAAGAAAGAAACATCAGAAGCAACAGGGAAAGATCATCCCAGCCAATGAAGTGGAAGGAAAGAAAGGGGAGGAAGGGAGGAGGAAGAGCAAGAAAGACAAAAAGAAACACAGAAACATCCATAACCGAAATTAAAACATGGTTTGATTTTTATTTTTTATTTCTTCAAGGAAGGGAGGAGAAGGGGGAAAAGAAAAAGTTTGGTCACCATTTTTAGGCTGGTGATGGCAAATTCCAGCTGCCAAGCCTCCCTCTCCACAACGAATGGAGAGAGTAGAGAGTTTTGCTCTGGCTGAAGAGAGCGCAAAACGGGAAAGTTTTAAAAATATTATTTTTAAAAGATGGAGGAAAAAAAAAAGGGGGGGGGGGTGAAGGAGAGGGGAGAGAAACCCGCCCCTGGCACTTACAGGTGGGGCATGCGGAGCCGGGCAGCGCCGGGGACGAGCCGGCGGGGAAACTCGGTCAGGAATGGCACATACTTTGAAGGAAGATGAAGAGCACACACACACACAGAGACAAAAAAAAAAAAAAAGAAAAAAAAAAAAAGAAAGAAAAAAGAGAGAGAGAAGGAGAGGGAGGGAGGTCAGCCGGTGCTACAGCAATGCGATTAACCAGCGGGGAGAGAGAGAGAGAAAAACTTGATCCACCGGTTCCTTACGAATCGGCACGAAAACGGGGGGAGAGGAGGGGATGCGGGGCGGGATGGGGTGAGGGGAGGGGGCCGGCAGGAGCACTCACACCCCGCGCAGAACGCCTAGGCCAACTTCCCCGGAGTGCTGCTCCGGCCCTGGGCGAAACCGGGCTCCGCGCCTCATCCCTGCTCTGCCCGCCCATACCACAACCTGTCAAAGTCATGGAAGTCCTGCCTCATTTTTCGTTTTATTTTATTTTCTGCCCTTCCCTTCCACACATCCCCTTCCACACACACACACCCCTGCGTCTCCCCTCCCTCCCGCCGCCGCGTCAGGCCGCAGCCCCCCGGGGCCGCAGGTGGCGGCGGGCGCTGAGGGAAATGGCAGTTGGGGCCGGCGGTAACGGACCGGGCGAGCCCCGTCGCCCCCCGGTACACGCACTGCTCCCGCCGCCCCTCTCCCACGGCGTTTTTGCCTTTCTCTTTCCCCATTATCATAATTATTATTATTTTTAATGATCTAACAGCAACAAGTCATTGGAGCCCACCGCCGTGCGGGAGATGCTGCACACCCGCACTTTACTCGGGGACCCCTCCACACGGGCAGACACACACACACACACATACATACATAGAAGCAGGCACACACACACACACACACACACACACACACACAAGCCCGCTGTCCCCGCCGCCGCCTCGCACACCGGACGGAGCTGTCCTCCCCACCTGGGAAAGAAAGACCGGGGTGAGGGAGGGGGGAGAGAAGGAAGGGAAAAGGGGGTGGGGGGGGGGACAAAAAAGAAAGAAAGAAAAAGAAGCCAGGCGCAGATTTACCTCAGCCGCGCAGGCAGTGAATCACTTCCATCCCCCTTTTGTTTGTGTTTTTATTAGTGTCGGCTCCCTCTGCCTAGTGGAGGTGTGTTTGTGCACGGCAGTTGGCTATGGAAACTAAGGCAGTGGAGCTGTAGCTAAGGGTAATCCTGTTTTTACTTCCTCCATCTTCAGAGAGCAGGGTTAGCCTGGGACAGCTGGTCAAACCCCGAGAAACCGATCCGCCGGCGCCCGCACGCCTGCACTCACTCACTCACTCCCCACACACACTCACTCACACACGGGGACACACGGACACGGCAACACACGGACACGCTCGTGGACGCGCGCTCCCGCAACCCCGCGGGTGCGCGCCGCCCCAGCCGCCCCGCGGCGCCTCACCCAAGGGCCGGCGAGGCAAGGCGAAGGGAAGAAGGCGAAAAGGGAAGGGGCGGGAGGGGGGAGGAAAGAAGCGAGGGATGGGGGGGGGGCGCGGGGGGCGGGTGCCCGCGCCGGCAGGGCCGCTCAGCACGCTCGGCAATCGATTAAAGGACAAGTGCCGCCGCCGCCGCCGCCGTGTGCGCTCCGCGCCTCACGCGGACGGACACACGCGCGCGCCGCCCCCTCAGGGCACCGCTGCCGCCATCCTCCGAGCACCGGGGCTACCCCCTGCGCCCTGCCGTGCCCGCTCCTCCTCTCCCCTTCCCTCAGTAGCGGCAGCCGCTGCCGCCGGGCTGGTGAAGTTGCCGGCGGAGTCATGATTCAGCACTTCTATTTTTAACCCCTCAGCGCGGCCCGGTGCTCTCCCGCCGGCGTTGGCTTGGCGCCAATTACCCCTACGGTGGGAGCCCTCCGGGGGGGGGGGGGCCTGGGAAGCTTTGAGAGCTGCCGTTATCTAATGAACATTCAAAGTAAATATGAGGTAATTTCTTTTCCATTCTGTGTTATGCTTATAGAGAAAGCCCAGTTAGAATAAAAGCCTTTTCATGTATTTCCCCCTCCTGAGAATTCAGTGCGGTGTGGAAAGGGGGAAAACCAGCATGATTCTCCTGAGGAAAACCCTGCTTTACCTCACGGCTGAGGCTGAAGTAACACCCTCCAGTGCCACTACCCCACGTCAGGGCCTGACCCAAGCCCACTGGAACATCTTTGGTGCTGACACCACAGAATGTACTTCCCCCTCGCCTTGGACAGGCCTTAGATCAAGTGCAACAGCATAATCCTTTCTTCAAGTGTCTTTTCACCAAAGCTGAACTGTTGGGTAGTGGTGACTGTGGTGATGACATTATTAGGCACCAGAGTTAACAATCCATTAAGAATCCCAGACTGGTTTGTGTTGGAAGGGACCTTAAAGCTCATCCAGTTCCAACCCCTGCCACCGGCAGGGACACCTTCCACTAGAGCAGGGTGCTCCAAGCCCCTGTGTCCAACCTGGCCTTGAACACTGCCAGGGATGGGGCAGCCACAGCTTCTCTGGGCACCCTGTGCCAGTGCCTCAGCACCCTCACAGGGAAAAACATCCTGTGGATGCGTTTGTCATGCATTATATACACAGGTGTTATTAACTTAAAATTCATAAGTTTAAGAGCACAAACACTAGTAAGCAGCTGAATTCAGGCTGCCCATAACTACCTTGTGCCTTTTCACACAGCAGAGCAGCCAACAGGAATAACAGGGAGTTATCCCTTTTCACTGCCACAAAGTGAGTTTCAGACATGTGCTGACACATGTACCTTCAACACTTCATACCCACATTCTTTGTGTATCCAGAGTCTGCAAAGTCCCTGTAATTTTTGCTTTCAAGCAAAATCTTAACTACAGCCTTAATTCTCGCTCCAGCTATAAGTGAGCACAATACTGTTGTTAGAGGCAGTAAAGTAAAACCCAGGCTTTATTAGCTCAAACTCTTCACATCAAATGACACTCTCCTTTGTAGTGGCAGAGCAGCCCTATCTTGAGAGAGGGAGACAAACTCTTTTAAAAATACATTAAATTACTCAGCAAGCCAAAGACACTGAAGTTAATAGACAGCTCTCTCCCCAGCACTACAAATTTTAGCCAATTAGTCATTACACCACATCTGTGAAGTGGGTTAGTTTAACTCTTCTCATTTTGCATAGAAAGGAGGCAGAAAGGCTAGGGGACTGGCCCAAGGCAAGAAAGAGCACTCAAAGCTGAGCCTAGAAAGCACACTTCTTGTTTCCCACACCTACGTCTCAACAACTAGATTTGGCTTGCCTACATCAGAAAATAGACTGGCATAACTATAGCTGTGTAATTATACCACAACAGTTTACACTGGAATAACTCTCCTAACGGACATTCTCCTCCAGATGGAAAGTGACTTCTCAAAAGCTATCCAAATTCACTCAACAGCACACACTTCAGGTTTTGCCTTTTTTTTTTTTTTCCCTCATTCTTCATATTGGAGGGTCAAAATGCCTAAGATGTGGGTCTCAGCAGCATTTTGAAGCCTTTGATCACTTTCACAGACCACTGAAAAGCAGGAGAAAATGCAAAAGATGTCACTGAAATGCTACAAGCCTTGTTGTCAAGATTTTTATGATGCTTTTCATCAAAATGTTGAAAACTGAAAGCTTCCAGCTGGCTCTCCTTACAGGTAATAATTTAATAGCTAACAGCTTTCCTCACAAAGCTGCTGGAACCTGCTTGAGCCATGGAAGCTGATGGGAAAACCCAGACCCATGCTCTTTAGTAAATGCTTCTGATTTTTTTAATCCTGCTGCTCCATAAGCTTTCAAAACCAAATGATGCTGTGAAAACAAGGAGTGACTAAAGGAAAAGTAAGGGACAGGGAATAAAGTGAAAGGGGTTGCCTTTAGAAATCAGCTTGTCAACTCCAAGCGCTGCAGAGATGAGCGCATCATCACTACAGCAGCACAGGGGTGAATCCACTGAAACCAATACAAAACTCAGCTTGGGGGCTGCAGCAAGAGCTCCACAGTGGTTTATGTCAACCACACACCTGCCCCCAGATGATTCTCAGCAAAGCAGCTGTGATGATCTTGAGGACCACGTGTTGGCTTGGGATCAAGAGACCATCAGGGTCCTCCATGTAGTTTCAGCCAAGTCATTGTTTATCTGCATTTCGATTCTCCATTTCTAAAATGTGGTAAATAATGCAATGAGACTTTTCCATCTACTGAGCAATGCTCCAAGAACAATTATCAGCTTTGCCATGGACTTCTGCCACATTAGAAGTCACTTCAGCATAGCTCTGAGAGAAGCTTTTGGAGCTGCTGTAAGCCTGGTGGGCAGTCCCTTTCCCTCCTATTTTCATCAACAAGACGTAAGGAGCACTTGCACAGCCCTGCCTACCCTGGGACACAAGGCCAGCTACTTTGGAAATTACAGGTGGTGCCAACAGTCACCTACTCAAGACCCATATGTCCCTCTAGGTATTTGCTTAGTCCCCTTGCGCCTCAGTTCTACCCTTGTGTGCTGGAGATAATAGAGCTGTCCTGTCTCACAAGGACCCTGGGAGGGGAACTCAGTTCCTCGTTGTCAGTAACATGATTTGAGAGGTTAGTGATGGGCTCAGCCTCTTTTCAGCAAATTATTTGAAAGTTTTAAGCCCTATATATGCATGTGTGTGAGAATTATTATTCAAAACAACCATAATGCAGATGTGTAAATTCTGGTTTAAATATTTTTCTCCTTTTTTAAATACTTGTATAAGGTCAAGGTATTCTAGGAGTTCACTCCTGAAAAGCTTGTATTACGTACTCACATAAATAGTAGCTCCTCACAGCATAAGCTCCAGATCTATTTATACTTAGCAAATTCAAAAAGGCGTATCTAACACACACTGTCCCTTGGACAGCTATGAGCACCACAGAGCAGCAGACCCCTGCATCTGCTTTCTTGCCTTTAGACTGAACCCTCTCTTCTCTACCCGCAGAAGGGGGCACTTTGAAGGCAAACTGGATCAAATCCCAATATACTTTGAAGAGGACAAAAGCAGACCTTTGTTCACTTAACTGTGCATTGGACAATCTAAAAGGCATATAAGCAGTAATCTGTTCATTATTCCATCTCCTCCTCTTTGCTACAATAAAGGACTGTTTTATGCTTATATGCATCCATAAAGAGACCCATAAAGAAAATAATGAACATCCTTGAATATCTTCAGAGCATACTTTATTAATTTTAACAGGGACACAACATACTGTATCCCTTGTATTTCACTGAGATTAAAGTCTATAGCTTAATTCCTATTAAAACAGTTGGTATTTTCAGGACATGCAGATGTAATTTATGGAGAGGCACAATACTCATAATAGCTCAAAGGCCACAGAAACTGTAGATCTGTGTCTGTTACTGTAGTTGTACAGGCATTCATTGTACAGAGAGCAGTTGAAAAGGCAGAGTATGTAATCTGAATACTAAATTTGTGAATAGTTTCTCACTTGGGCTGGTTAGGCTTTTCAAGAGCAGCGGATGCTTTGTAGGGGACTCTGTAAAACATTCTGCTAATCTATCACATGGTTTGCTGTATTTTCTTATCTTTACTGTTAGAACTTCATTCATCAAGAAGCAATATTTGATTCTTAAAAGGGCACCAGCTCCTTCTCTGTACTCTCCACCTGAATTCAGTGGTGCTCTGTGTGAGATGCTTCACAACAAATACTTCTTCCTTATTCTATGGAGAATTTCACGTGTATGTAACCCAGAAGTATACAAGAAACAAAGATGATTTCCTTTACCCCCATGTATTCCAATTGCTATATCCAAGTTACTTGGAAAACAGTATTATATTTCCTGTTTTATTATCAACAGTAAAAGTGTACAGGTTTTATCTTCTATTATGGAGATATAAATGTATACGGATATAGCATTTATGAGGAAGGGCAATTCTGAACTGTCCTAACAAAATTTAACTATGACACAAGCTACTAACAGAGAAGCCTTGAGCCTGGGATCATTTTTATTCTTTGCTTGTACAGCACCTAGCACAATGAGGATTTATGCATGACCTAGCTTCCTGCTTAGTACTTCAACAAAAATGAGAATTAACTCTTGCTTTGCTTATGTCTGAAAATCACAAATACCAACAGAATTACATACAATCAATACCAAACAGAGAACAACAGAGTATTATGAAGTTCATGAAGCAGCTGATAAAAAAGTGTGCTGGATCTATTTAAATTGCTAGAGCTGCTAGAGGTATTTAGGCAGATAGGCAGTTGTTTATTTAGTAAAATCAGAGGTGTCAGTTATGTTGAGTATTGCAAAGTACCACTGAACATCTGAATATTTGGTGGGAATGGAATTCTTCCATTTCCCTATGACAGGAAGAACATGATGACTGAATCTTAAAATGTCAAAAGCTGCCATTTGGGTTTGAAGGAGCTTCCACCATACTGAAGTCTTCTACCAAATTGGGCTGCAAACATCTCGGGAGCAGGTCTTATAAGGCTGCTGACGCTTCCCTTCTGGGTTCAACCTGATACACTACAGCTATATTCAGAGTCCTCATCCTGGGTGAAATATAGACTAGATAAGGCCACCCTATACATTTATTTCTGAGCTTGCAAAGAGTTCTCACTACTGCTTTCTGAAGCTTGGCAATTAATTACGGAATTAGGACATTTTCTATTTGAATCCAATCTACCTGTAAGTGCACAGCATGAGCCTGTGGCTCCCTGGAGGCTAGGAGCCACAGAGGTGCCCCAGGCTAGTGTGGCAGGAACCTCGCCACCTAGGTGAGGTTCCCACAACCCCCAGAAAGGGAGCAGGGCAGGCCAGAGATGACAGCCAGGTCTCACCAAAAACCCTGATGCTCACGCAAGTCTCCAGCAATGAGGCAGGTCAGATGCCAAGCCAAGAAGTCAATCTATAGGTCAGAATCAGCAAGGTCCATGGCTAGAAAGAGGCACAATTTCTGCCAAGCAGAAGACAGGCATGCCCCAAACCTAGAGCCATCATAGGGCTGATGTTAAATGGGCTACTTGGGCAATGGTGGGAGTGTGTGTGCAGGCGCCAGCTGAGGCTGATCAGGGTCGTTAAGGTCTTTTGGTGCTTTCAGGGTCCTTGCACTACTAAACCAGCTTCAACTCTGAATAACTATGGATAAGAGTTTTCAAACAAGGAAACAGACAGCTGACCTTAACATTAAATTGGATTGTCTAACTGACTCCCTTGCTCAGCAGGAACTGTTAGGCATCTCACTTCTTTGCTGAAGAGATGCTGTGCACAAGGGGAGTAACTGGCATGTTTTAAGCTCGCATCTTGCCTTACCTTTCAGAAGCGCACATATCTCCCTGGAAGTTAAACAGGCTGTTTTCCCTGATTCTACCTGACTGGTTGTATGATTTCTCTCAGGGTATCAGGGCCTTTTTTCAAAACACCTGAAGGATGCCCTGTTTCTTCATTACACTCCTCACTTACCATGTTTCCAAAACCCCCATCACCCCTGTTCAGTGTGCATAGCTACAAACTGTGAACATGAACTTACTGGTGTGTACTTTACCCTCTTTAGCCCTTATTCGTCTTCCTTCACTGCTTTTCCAGCATCATGCTAGTGCTTAAGGGAGCTAGGTGGTGCTGGGCTGAAAACTAGTTGAAGTGGTTGTCAGGGACTAAATAGGTAATGAATCTTTGAGGCTGACAGCTCCTGCAGGCATGTGGCTCTGCAAAAAAATCTGATCCAGAAGACAGGCCCAGCTGTCCCAGGCCAGGGGAGTAGGGCAGGGGTTACTTAGTCCCCTCTGTGCTACTCAGCACAATGCATGGACTCGGAGCAAGCAGTTCACTGGACAGTGCCACACCTACAGTGAGAAGCTGCCATTCAAACCAGTCTTTTGATCATTGCAGAAATGGTATGACATCAGAGCCTCGTGAGTAATGAAGTCAGAACATAAAAGCATCTGAGAAAACAAAAACGCCTGGCCCTCTCTGTCCAGAAGTGGCACAGCTGAGCCAAAGGCTGACACTGTCATCTCAGAGGTGAGGGACAGCCTAGGGACTAAGCCTAAACCTGTGTTGTGGATTACTCCCTTTCAATGCCTTGCTTTGGAATAGGATACTCATTTCCCCCTCCATTTACGTGGGGTATTCTGCTACAGGCATCTAGTTCAGCTTCCTATTCCTTGGCTGCTTCTGGAGTCCATGGAAAAGACTGATGCTTCCCAATTGCAATTCCAAGCACCAAAATTAAATTTCCGCTGTTAGTCACTCTCCAGAGGAGCATTCCTTTCTCCAGTGACTACACAGGGAGGTTGGAGAAATCAGTTGGCTAAATGAGTTACTTACAGGGAATTACTTCTGTTCTTCACCTAGACAATAAAGCTGATAGTATTTCTTCTCTGACAAATGTTTTAAAAAAGAGGAACACTTCAACAGGAGGGGCAGGGACTTGGATACAGCCGTGATGGAGGCTCTGTGACTGTGCAGGAGAGAGAAATTTAAAGAATAGGGGGGCTTTATGCCTCTTTTGTGCCCATAAGCGAAGTGTCACCACAGAAGTGTCCTGGAGTTTGACTATATAAATACAGTCACCTTAAATTAACTGGCCACATAATCAGTTTTGAAGTGGAGTCAGGTTAACTTTGATTAACCACATGCAACAATTTAGATCATAAAAACAAAACATTAGCA